AATTTAGAATAAAAAAGACAGATTCGAAGAATCATTATTTTTATTTGAACCATATGTAAATAAAAGGAACGTAGTGTTTTGAACACATACTTTGTAGGTATTTATACTTAGGTATATGAATAAAATATATTTCCTTCTGTTTGATATGTATATCAAATAAATCGACATTTTTCATTTTAACATGTTTTTATTGCGTTGCTAATGTTCTTTAAAAAAGCGTATATAAATTACTGGAATCGCATTTATATAGTGTTTTGCTAGTATGCATTCCAGTTCTATTGTTTTAATTAAAACAAACGAGCACATAAATGAACACCTGTAGGCTATAAATAAAGGGCGAACTTCGCGTAGACTGTAGGCTGAATATTTCCGAGACTGTACCGGGATAGATCCCTCCAGCTTTCCGGGCGAGAGAACTTGGAACAATTATCGAAATCTACGCTCAGTAAGTCAAAGTATTATGAAGAAGATGTCTAAAACGTGAGGGGCAACATTTCAGATAAAATCTCGGAGTTTTTGAGATTGGGGTTGCCCACCCCCTGCGTGTGGAGGGGAGGGGGCGGTCGCCGGATTAGTGCGTACACCGCGTGTGCCAACTAGCCTCAAGTTTACAGCATGCCCCAGTTGAATGTCGGCGAAGAGTACCGGCAACTTTTCTTTCTTTTTTACCCGCCTCTGCAGATTTGGCGATCTTAATTTTTTCTCTCATCCAAGTGTAGTGTTAACGTAAACTGGATGTGACTGTCACGTAGCTGGGTTTGTTATTCAGTGGTGAGTGGAGAGCCGAAAGAAAAACATTCAAAAGTGGTATATGACATATTTATTTTAAATTATAAATTTTTTCTTGGTAAGAGCTACTTTTACGATCAAAGATATTAAGCTAACTGCTATTTATTCTAAATATTTCCCTAAATTCCCTTCAAGGAAGTGATACAGTGTGTTTATTTTCTCATAACGTCTCTGTTAACAGTTAACATTTACTAGTCAGTTAGATATCAATTTTTCAGCACTTTCTTTTAAAACCAATCGACTATACGGATATTCAGATGCTTCCGTGGAGCACGAGACTTCCATATTTTAAATGGACACCCCATAGATCTTTTGCAGATTTGCAAAGACATTATATTTTGTCAGAGACATGTGCCATACCGCTTTGTGTAAGTTTTAAAATAATATATTAAAGTGTTCTAATTTTTTAATTATGTATATTTCTCAATTTCAAACCGGGAAAAATATCTTTTCAAATAAAGCACTATTTCTTTTTTATGAAATTGGATTTGTCTTTCTCCGGCATGCATATTGTAAGTGATAAAACTATAACTCTTTTTATATACTTTTTAATCAATTAAAGTGACAATTCTTGTTCATAGGTATGAAATGCAAATAATTGTTTTCAATATTTCATGAAAGTATTTTTTCACTAGAACGTACAATTGGGATAGAATTTACCATTTTTAAATAATTATTTACTGTTATTGTATATTTAGTATACTGGGATATTTGATATCAGATGGTGTTATACTTATAACTTCATTAGACGATAATATAAAAAACTTTTTGATTCAAATGGAATTAGATAAACAGATTTGAAGTAATGTAAAAGTAAACATAATCCTGCTTGTTCAAAAATTTAGTTTCCTTAATGTGATTAATTTAGAATTTTTGTATTTCTTATAAAATGCCGGTATGGTACTAGGCTATTTCAAAAATGCCGCCGACCTTGGCAGTTCCTCAGTTCTGGCAAATTATCAGGGATCACTTTGACAGAACCAGGTTCTATTGGATACGCGGGGCTAGCCAGTACCGCATATAGAGAATGCAGAGAACAGTGCACAAGACAAGAAGGGAACTATTTTTACGATTGTTAGATGAATAAGTGTAAACATCTGGCGTGGCGCGAGTAGTCTTCCTCTGGAAATTTGAGAGCAACTCAATGTTCTTTCTTTCTCCTTATAGTAAGTAAGCTGTTGCCAACAAGCTATATTTCAAAAATAACGTACTAGTCGTCAAATATGTAGTCAACAGAATTATACAAAAACGCGTCGCATATTTAAAAATTTTAGAAACGCCTAGCTTTAAACTTTATAATATGACAGTTGACAGACAGGCTAAATGCAAGAAGTAAAGTATTTCATTTTATTAGTTGCTGTTTGGTACCATGCTCATCGTTTTTTAAACTTTACAAATACTTTGCAGTCACCTAAAAATTTCCAGGAGAAAAATCGTAAAAGCTCAGTTTTTTCTCTGTACTATTGAATATGTAATTAAAGAAGGATGCATGGGATATACCTATTTCGCATTTTTAATGTAAAGTGCAATGAAATACATACGTACCTACACATATAATAGCTCCAGAGTAACAGTAGCTCTTGAAATATGTTTTAGTGTGCTGTGATGGATATAGTTTCAGTCAATTTAATTTAAGACGACGTTATTTCTTTCGATGCTTTGAAATAATCTATAGCTCAATTTATATTTCAATTATTATTAATATGCCCATTTTTGTATAGAGTGGTAAATATATTTTGNAAAGTATTTCATTTTATTAGTTGCTGTTTGGTACCATGCTCATCGTTTTTTAAGCTTTACTAATACTTTGCAGTCACCTAAAAATTTCCAGGAGAAAAATCGTAAAAGCTCAGTTTTTTCTCGGTACTATTGAATATGTAATTAATGAAGGATGCATGGGATATTCAATTATTAATATGCCCATTTTTGTATAGAGTGGTAAATATATATTGGGAAATAATTTTTTTCTTGAAAATGATTGAAGGTAATTACTTAAATTGCTGTTTTGATGCGGCTTGAAAGAAGTGTTATTTGTAACTACTGTCTACTTACCAAATTTGATGTTTTTAACTGTTTTCGAAATATTAATAATTGGAAATCAATTTCCTGATATTCAGTGTCTTGGCAATCTTGGCATTCGAAAAAGCGAATGGAGTTACAAGAATGTTATAAATTTAGTTAATTCTGCAAAATAATTTTAGATCATCTCATCGATCGAAGATCGAATAAACACTTTTCTAACCCTGTTTATTATTCATATGTAAAGGTTGAAAATTTTTGGAAAGTGATTTTTAATAAAAGAAAATAGAAAAGTATTACTACTAAGAGTTCGTTTCAGTGGCATCAATACAGGGATGTGTTTCTGATAATACAATTTATTAGAGCACACCACGGGAACAAAAAACAGCATTGATAACAAAAACGATAGCGAAAAAGTTGAATCTTAAAAATAAACTAGCACAAGTTAAAGAAGATAAAAACAAATTCAATGCAAAACTTCGTTTATCCTCCATTGTGGAGGAGAGGTGGATAACTGGTTGGGGAATATTCGTAGTCAATCTACCATCTTGTAGCATGTTTTCGACATAAGTTACAAAAATTTACAAAACTTGTACACCTTTCTTACATCCACTAGCCGGATATATGGTCTTAGTCATTCTATTCTTTTAAGCAACTGACTCATTAGTTTTCATCACCAAGATTCCTTATCTGCTGTGTCATTCAGCATTAAATATTTTTGTCAGATGAGAATTACGAGAAACGCTGGCGCTTTTTTTGTTTTTGATTGTTTAAAAATCATTTATCTTCAACAGGAAGGAGATATGGACGATTGTATTGCTAAATAGTGATACCATTTTCCAAGTTACACACACTCTGTGTTGAGTAAAGGGTTGACTTCTTAAATCTGTATTTTTAAAATACAATACAAAATCTTGCAAAATTTATCTCGCCGCATGTTTTAGCACGTTTTAGCATGTTATAAGTAATACAATCTAAATATGGTTCAAGCAGTGACGTCTTCTGATAAAATATTAATAAACCATCTCTCCTACCTTTCATATGTTCCACTGAAAATATTAGCCTTCAAAATATAATTATCTAAAAAAACACATTTCCTATAATATATAGATCATTCTTTAGTTACTGTGTATTAAAACTTAAAATATTTAAAAGTTAAAAGATGTCACATTTTATTTAGAAACTGAAAAAATATGTCATGGAAATATCAAACACTGACTTATTTCTTTAAAATTAGGAATAGACGAGCCTGTTGTATGACACGTCCAAATTAAAACAACTGCCAATTTTGTATTAATACAAATTTAAAAACATTAACTTTATTTTCGGTCTAAAGCAAATGAATTTAAGACATAAAAGTTTTTGTTTAAAAATGGCGTGGAAAATGCGACACACCGCATGCGCTGCGTGACACGTTCATCAATTCCCGTCCAAATGGGGCAAAGAAATGCAAGAAATATGTTTGATTTTACCTAATGTTTTGTTTGTCCTTGATTTAAGTGTTAATGAAATGAATCCAGGTTAAAATTATATAGAAACAAAGATTTATTATTAGAGTACGGTGTTGATAAATTATTTATTATATTGTGTCCTGATTAAATTCCAGTACCGCTTCTATGTGCCTTTTATCGTTCTAATCCGTTACTGTTCATGAAGCTGACATTTGGAGAGTAACACATTTATTTTAGGACCGTGGTAAATCAAATGTTTCATAACCGAGAGAGATCTGGATTAATCGAGATTGTTCTGACCATTATAGTTAGTTTTAGAAGTTCTTAAAGTCTCCCCAATAGAAAAGATATTTTCGAATTTTCGTTTGTTTACATTGTGAATGTTTCTTTTCTGGATTTATTAAAACAGTTTTAACTAAGACACAGGGCAATGTTTTTATTTCAATAATTGTTCTAATATAGGTTTCTTTATAGGATATTTATCAACGACCTAACATGAAAATGATTTCTTTGAACCAATTTTTCTCTTAGTTCTGAAAGGAAAGTCTATTAGTTCCTTTGCACAATTCCAGTTTGGATATCCCATGTTCACACTTACTATTCCAATTCATTATATTTATTGCAATAAAAAAAAACAACAAGAGCGGAAAATTTGTCATATCCCCTGCGTTAGTTTGATTTTCTTGACAAGATTTTCAGATAAGCCGTTTATTCTAAAACTGAGTTTTGTTTTAGGTACCTATGAGCGTGCTAACTGCAGATGAGGACAGTGGCGTGGAGATGTCTCTTTCTCGTGGTGATAATGGTAAGTTTTCCAAGAAAAATATCTAAAATCTATTTTTTGGGAAACTAATCTAAAGTGGAAAGTAACTAAGTAAAATACTATTTAATGCAGTGATGAAGAATATAATAAGAAGTACTTACTGAAATAGAACATGCGAGGTAACCAAAAATAATGATTGTGTGTTACTCTCAAAATAAAGATGATCACACAGTCCCACAAAAAAAGAAAAGTGGTCTGTTCCAAAGATTAGACCCATGTATTCTTTATGTATCGTGAGACTAAAAATCACTGTAGGACCATATGACCATGTTTATATGTACTTTGGTATAATGAATCCAAATTCGAATTCAGAATTGCTCCATCCCCCCCCCCCTCAGATTCCCCCAGAGGTAGACAGAACTTCAGCCATTTGATGCCCGGAAAGAGAGAAGAGGGCATTCGATCGTTTCCAGATAAAAAATGATGTTTCTTTGCTCCTTCTTCCTTTTGCAAGGAACTCCTATCTTAGAACGATTTATGCATCTTTCTCTTTTCTGTGTTTTTGCGTCGTTTTTCCTTTTAACCATCCAGCAGAAATCTGCCATCATATTAATATACTTATCACCTTCCTTAATACGAACGCTCCATTTCCTTCATATCATGATGAAACCGTTCACCGTGTTCTTCGCTGTAGTCTTCGAGGTTCTCCGGAAAGTAGTCAAGATGAGTGTCTAGTAAATGCAATTTCAAGTTTCCCAATAATTACTCAACTAAATTCTGGTAATCCTCACCCTTGTGATTCCTCAAGAAATTATTTGACTTTCTTGAAACTTAGTCATGCTGCTCTTACAGTATCATTCATTTTTGTGACAAATTTTTCGTCTCTGAATACGGTATGGATTTTAGGATCATTGAAAATACCTTCTTTAAGGTTAACATCACTTATTTCTGGAATCTTCTCTCCTAAATATCTAAAACAGTCGCCATCTGTGTCCAAAGCGTTAACGAACTATTTCATGAGACAAAGTTTAATTAGGAGAGGTGGAAGTAGAATATTTGAAGGATGGAAATTTATCCTTTTCGGCCGTAGTTTCTGTTTATAGTAATTGTTTCTGTTTCTAATATCCCATAAACATAAGAAACAGGGATGAAAGATGAAGTTGGCCTCTTGTTTTGAAAAGTATAATTTTCCATATTTTCTGTATTTATGGGCGGTTTTCCTTTTGGATTTAGAAAAAATGGAGGGTAATAGAGCAATTCCGGGATCAGTGTGTTAAAATACATAAAGATACATGGGTCTAGTCTTTGGAACAGACCATTTTTCTGTCTTTGTGGGATTGCGTTACCAATGTCTATTGTTAATTTTCAACGCAGTCTGACATTTAATTAGCTGAATTCATATACAAGATACTCGCATAAAAAGGAAGAAACAACACTAAATGGTTAATTGGAAGTTTTAAAAATGTCCGTTATTTAAATATATTTCAAGAAGCATGACAACTAAGTAGTAAGAAGTTGTTGGTAAAGAAAGTTGTGAAGTTTGATGTTATTGCACCTTCAAGGGCCAAATAAATATTAAGTTAATTTGAATTAAGGAAAATTTACCAGAGAGCTAACTAAACTATGCTTAAAATTCAGGCTAACTTTTTAAACTGCATTTCGCTGAATACAGTTGTTATGTTCTATCGTTCGTACTGCATCAATTGGAGATGGGATAAAATATAAATGTGGAAGGAGAAACCTTATACGCTGTGTTTACAACATCGCTATAGAATATATGTAATACGTTGAACTGCAAAAATCTTAAGAAAAGTATTGATGGAAATTGATATAAATATAAATCCTGAAGATAACTTCGCATATCATAGTTGTTGTTTTCCAAAATACCATTAGTTAAGCTTAGTTAAGTTTTCTACTCTGAAAGACGGTAAACGATACAGAGATTCCCACTGTATCTACAGTGATAGTGACAATCTCCTGGCACATTAAAATTAAACATTTTTTACAAATAAGTATGTTCAATATAAACTAAAGGAAAGGGATATTCATGATTTCCTTACAATACACCAAACAATCATATAATACATATATTCCTCAATCGGCATATGCCTTATCCACTCCGAAGTAGCGGCTGCCAGCAATAAAAGCTGACAAGTAATATAAAGACTAAAAAGTTATTATCATATAAAAAATAGTTTTTACCGCGTTGTTTATATAATTAGTGGTATGTGGAACTAATTTAATATTAATTAGTAATTTCTATTTAATACATTTTGGTTTTTGTATAGTGTCAATATATTATGCGCATTACTTAGATACATAAATCTGACTACTATGTAGCAATGAATATAAATATATAATCAACCAAGATGAATCTCGTGCTTTGTTGAAAGTATTGTAACTTTATTAAAATTAAACATTTTTTACAAATAAGTATGTTCAATATACAATATAAACTAAAGGAAAGGGATATTGATGATTTCCTTACAATACACCAAACAATCATATAATACATATATTCCTCAATCGGCATATGCCTTATCCACTCCGAAGTAGCGGCTGCCAGCAATAAAAGCTGACAAGTAATATAAAGACTAAAAAGTTATTATCATATAAAAAATAGTTTTTACCGCGTTGTTTATATAATTAGTGGTATGTGGAACTAATTTAATATTAATTAGTAATTTCTATTTAATACATTTTGGTTTTTGTATAGTGTCAATATATTATGCGCATTACTTAGATACATAAATCTGACTACTATGTAGCAATGAATATAAATATATAATCAACCAAGATGAATCTCGTGCTTTGTTGAAAGTATTGTAACTTTATTAAAATTAAACATTTTTTACAAATAAGTATGTTCAATATACAATATAAACTAAAGGAAAGGGATATTGATGATTTCCTTACAATACACCAAACAATCATATAATACATATATTCCTCAATCGGCATATGCCTTATCCACTCCGAAGTAGCGGCTGCCAGCAATAAAAGCTGACAAGTAATATAAAGACTAAAAAGTTATTATCATATAAAAAATAGTTTTTACCGCGTTGTTTATATAATTAGTGGTATGTGGAACTAATTTAATATTAATTAGTAATTTCTAATTATTACATTTTGGTTTTTGTATAGAGTGTTAATATATTATGCGCATTACTTAGATACATAAATCTGACTACTATGTAGCAATGAATATAAATATAATAATCAACCAAGATGAATCTCGTGCTTTGTTGAAAGTATTGTAACTTTATCAAATCTTTTATTGCTATAGTTGTATTTATTTCATATTCAAGCTCATACTACGCATTATTAGTTTGAATAAAACTTCGATCACATTCGAATATGGAAAACAATTTTCAAGTCACTGTTGTGCCTGTTATTGATTTGATTCGAACAAATTCTTAATTGCAGTAACACTTTAATTTTGAAGGTGTTTCTATGATGTTTGAATTTGATATTCAATCAATTTATTCATCACATTAGTTTAGCCTTTCACTATCGTGTATATAGTCAGATTCAATCCAATTTATTTATCATCCTTTTTCAATCAAAAGATGTACTTACAGTACATTTGAAACTTCCAGTCATTCAAGATCAGTTTGTTCCACTACTAGGCATTCTAATTATTGATCTGTTTCTTCATTACCATTTTGTGAATATCTTCAATTTATTCTGGATCAAATATAAAGGTGATTATGCTATATTATTCAATACTGTAATCAAAAATGAAGTGTTAAAAGTGGAAAGTAAGTAAATGTAAAATAATTAACTGATATTGTTAAAAGAATTTATTGAAACCAATGAAAACGTATTTTTAGAAAAGTGCCAACTTATGTATTGCTTTTAGGTTAAGGCATAAAAAATAATTTACTATTCGACAACATCTTCATTAAAATCCTGATTTTAAGATAAAACATTCCGAAATTCTCATAATTAGGTAAGTATAAACATTAAAATATTTATTAATAAGTCAGCAGGAGCAGTTATTAAAAGTAAGAAAATGAAAAAAAATAAAATATGTGTAATGACTACACGCGGAAGGTGTTTCTCTGTTACGCCAATTAATTATTTATTTCAAGAGATTACTTTTATCTGATGTGTTTATATTGGGTGATCAATCGCTTGGATAGGATATAACCTCTTACAGAGTTTTATGTTCCTGATATTCTGGTAGTACTGGAAATTTATTTGTATGTGATAAACACATTATAAAATTCCTTAGCCATAGGTATTTATTATTTTCTACAATAAATGCATTATTTCTTTTCAAGCGTAAAGAAACTACAATTTATTAGAAGGTAAGAAAAAAGGACCAGTTTTATTTATTTTTATAAAAAGAAAAACTTGTATCTAGTTGGTCATTATTCTTCATGATTTTTTTATTGAAACTGATGAACCAGTTATGTAAATGTCTAATTTAATAATGCCCTATTCACGTTGAAACTAATTTAAAAAATGGATAATGCAGTTCGGTTTTACTGGCCAACATTAGAAATATTATTTATAGTATCACCTACTGTACCTAGAAATTATTATCATTGCAAACTCTTTTTATGATGAGGATTAGGTACAACGGATACAATTTTTTTTTACAGAAATCATATTGTGATCTACGATGACATGGTTTTTGTAACCCTTAGATTCTATGTAACTGGTTCTTTTCTTCAAGTGGTAACAGATTTCATAGAAATAGACAAATCTACAGCTACACCAGTTGTATATAAAGTTTCTCGCGCAATTGCACAATTACATAATCTATTTATGATTCCAAATGCCTACTTTAGAAGATGAGTCTATCAACAACAGTAAACAGTTTTCTGAATTACTTCATTCTCTTCGATGTTCTGGAGCAACTGATTGCACGCATGGTGAAAAGAAACCCGAAATATGTCGAAATGGAAAGTGATTTTTTTTAGAAATATCCAAGTCGTCTCTAATGCAAGGTTAGAAATACTAAAAACATTGTTTGCCAAAGGCCAATCATTAAACACATGATATTTACTGATAGTGACTATGGTTCAGGCCAC